ACAGAACAACCACAGTGACTATAATGCCTAATAAGTTGCAGACTTGTGTTTTCATTACAGAGGAAGATCTTTGGTCAGAGGTCTTTCAATATCTTGATTGCTCAGTTCCAGGACCTTGAAGTACTTATGGCATCATTACTTCTGTTTGTGCTACAGAGAACATATTTTATAAGAGAGCTTTGAATAAAACATAATAAAGAATTCCTAAGCAGTCTACAATGGAACTGTTTGCAGTTACATTAAAGGATAAGACAGACACACTGTTAAAAATCTGTAAAAATGACAGGCCCAAAAGGCACTATGGTAAGTTTGAACAAAGTGCAACCTAGATTTCAGCCTTCACAGTCTATAGCTCTAGCACTACATAATTAGAGACACTGCTACTGATAAACAAGAGAACAAAAAGTAAAAATAAGTATGATAAAGCTTCCATACTCTTATCTACAAATGATGTGTGCTCATAACACAAACATAGCTACCTCATAATATTAACAGAAAATATGAACACTGTTAAAAGTACTTCTTCCTAGAGTATATTTTTATATTTACAGAACATGCAAAGCAAGAATAATCAAGGTTAATTGTTTTATCAAAGACAACTCTTCAGGCCCCACATTTTGACCTTGCCCAAGGTTATTCTCCTGCTGACTGTTTTTTTCCTTGCTCTATCACATACATACATGCTACTAATACTCAATACCTAGATTTACTCAAGGCTTCAAAACTACTTAGTCTGTAACAATATCTATAACAACCACAAACTACCCTCCTACTCTTCCCCTCTCCCCCCAGTTGCAGGATGAAGGCCATGATTTGAAGCCAGCAGTTGCATACACTGGGATTAGTTGGAATAGCACACCAGCCAAACAACGACATGCTTGAGAGAACAGACAGAAGAACACAGCTTCATGTTCAGAAATATAATGACAGTTACTTATTTCTGAAGTGACAATTCTTGTAAAAACAAGTTTGTTTTACAGAACAAATGATGCATCAAGTGGCATGAAGAATACACAAGGAATTCAGGACCACCAACTGCTCACCTCCATGTACCTCTTCTGTCTTGGCCAGTGCTTTCCCCATGTTCAAAGGAGGGTCATAGACTGGTGGACAGGAGTCAGAAGCTGCATGACTCCCTTTGAATCAAGGTACGTCATTTAAAAATCAAACTACAGTCTTGTCAGCCAACATCATTTTATTCTCCATGAAACAAGAAACAAGAATGCTCCCTAAACATCACAATTACAAATTAAGGATCATTAGGAATATCAAACTATTGTTGTAGAAGTCTCATGACTGGAACCAAACCATTTTTGAAGTCACAGAATTATCATTACTACTGAAGTAATCAATAGAGAACGCGCCTTGGGCAGAAAATCAGTACATATTCAATGCAGTATTAAATTACAGGCAAAACCAGTTCAGAGAACTGATCTACAACGGAGAAAAAGAAGGTACAAGATTATGTTAAAAGATTTTTAAGATCTACCATAACTATATTCACCTAATTGACACATAAACTGTGGAAGCTCTCATCCTCCCAACCGTTAACTAATTTTATAGAAGGCTTTGCCATTGCAAGAATCATTCCAGGAACAAGAAGTGGAAAACATCTAGTGCCTCTGCAGTACAGCCCAAACACTATGGCAGAATTAAAATGCTTGCACAGAATTGTGAACATAATGAACATTACAGGTAGAAAGATCAGCCCTGATAGCCACAGCTAAGGGTTGTACAGCCAGTCAGTTGTTGTGACAACAGTTTGTGAGCCTATTGATACAAAAGAAACCGCTGTACACTTCATTTTGCCACTGAGGCAGAACTGGAGAATGCAACTTCCACACAGTCTACAGATAGACTATCAAAGACTATATTTTCAAGTGACGTAGCATCCTTACTTATGATTCCATAACATTTGTCGATACAACCAGCAACTATTAAGGGAAAGTGGAAATGATTTCTCAAGCTTATAGGAAGCATTTAATGGACTGCACCGTAGAGTGCTGAGGGAGCTGGTGGACGTGGTTGCCAAGCCACTCTCCATCATCCTTTGACAGTCCTGGCTAACCGGGATTTCCCAGCAGACTGGAGACTGGCAAATGACGCCCATCTTCAAAAAGGGCTGGAAAGATAATCCTGGTAGCTACAGACCTATCAGTCTCACATCAGTGCCAGGAAAGACTATGAAGCAGATAATCTAAAGAGCCATCATCCATCTATTAAAGGTCAACCAGGGATCAGGCCCAATAAATATGGGTTTATGAATGGTAAGATCCTGCTTGACAAACAGGATTTCATTCTTTGACAAGGTGACCAGCTTAGTAGATGAAGGTAAGGCAGTTAATGTGGTCTACCTGGACTTCAGTAAAGCCTTTGACACTGTCCCCCACAACATCCTGGAGAGGCTGGCTGCCTACCATTTGGATGGGTGTACACTCCACTGGGTGAAACACTGGCTGGATGGCAGGGCCCAAAGAGTTGTGGTCAATGGAGTGAAATCCAGTTTGTGGCTGGTCACAAGTGGTGTCCCCCAGGGCTTGGTACTGGGGCTGCTTCTATTTAACATCGTTAGTAACAATCCTGATGAGGGGATTGCACCCTTAGTAAGTCCGCAGATGACACCAAGTTGGGAGGGAGTGCTGATCTGCCTGAGGGGAGAAAGGCACTACAGAGGGACCTGGATGGACTGGATTGATGGACCAAAGTTAACTGTATGAGTTTCAATAGGGCCAAGTGTCGGGTCCTGTGTTTCAGTCACAACAACCCCAGGCAACCCTACAGACTTGGGGAGGAGTGACTGGAAAGCTGCCTGATGGACCTTGGTGGACTGATGGACAGTCAGCTGAATATGAACCAGCAGTGTACCCAGTTGGCCAAGAAAGCCAATGGCATCCTGGCTTGTATCAGGAATGGTGTGGTCTAGGGAAGTCATCCTGCTCCTGTACTCGGCACTGGTGAGGCCTCACCTTGAGTACTGTGTTCAGTTTTGGGCACCTCAGTAACGGTCACTGAGGTGCTGGAGCAGGCCCAAAGAAGGGGACAAGGGCTTGGAGAACATGCCCTTGGAGAGACCGAAGGAACTGGGGCTTTTTAGTCTAGGGAAGAGGAGGCTGAAGGAAAACCTTACTGCTCTCTTCAAACACCTGAAAGGTGATTGCAGCGAAAGCAGGATTTGTCTCTTCTCACTGGTGACAGGATGAGGGAAATGCCTCAAGTTGTGCCAGGAGGGGTCAGGAAAACCCTCTTTACGGAAAGGTTTGGTAAGCACTGGAATAGGCTCTCCAGGGAGAGTCACCATTCCCAAATGTGTTTAAAAACCATTTGGATGTGGTGCTCAGGGACATGATTTAGTGGAGGGTTGTTAGAGTTACGGTAGTTTCGTTTGGTTGTGACTGGACTTGATGATCTTTAAGGTCTTTTGCAACCTGAGCAATTCTGTGATTCTAATGGTATTCAAATAAGGGCCACGTTGAAAGGAAAACCAAATAATTCTTTACAACTTCCCAAACTAGCTTGAAATGGAATGGTGGGACAACAGAATAAGAGGAATATTACAAGAATTTTAGAGTCAATATTCTACCCTCAAAGGAAAAGTGGGGGGGAAAAAAAATGAAAAAAAGAAAAGGAGGAAGTGGGAAAGAAAACAGCACAGCTCCTTTCAGGTTGCAAGATGTACATAATCAAGGAACAGATAATTAGAACCAGTTTGTTAAATATTTCAGTATTAGATGAGTTAAGTATCTGATTTCGCCCATAGCACAACTTCAAAGTGGAGACACTAAGCAAGATCTGCGGCACTTGGACAAATGCTGTCCATAGCTAAAATGATGTACTGACATTTAGAACAATATGCACCAACAGAACATACAGAATATATGTTTATACCAAAAACCATATATCATTGTGGTGCCCAACCATATGCAGAATAGGTATCTTGAAAGGAGACCCCTCAACTCAGATAACTCAGGTATTTCGTACTGTAATTAAGGCCAAGTGCAGGGCCCACCCCAGCTTTATAGATGCACTCACCCAACACTCACACCTCTGCAATTCAATCCACTGACACCCAGGCTGCCTGTAGCACTACACTAACTACGCCAACCAGGCTTTGCTCTCCTGCTGTCCATCGAAGCTCATTTCCCGTCTATTATCCCACGTGCAACGCCTGCACTAATAGTTAGAAAACGCAGCCCGGTTTTTCAATCAGCCTAGCATTCCAGCGTGCCGCCCCGCACACACAGCACAGCCCCGTCCAACCCCGGGGCACTGAAAAAGAAGGAGCATTACAACCGACGGAAGCGTTCGGTAGAAGTCTGCAGGCAAACCCCAGCTAACACGAAGTCCCGCCCTGCCCCCTGCGCCGCGACCCGCCGCCCCGCTCACCATGCTGCTCCAGCCGGCGCCGCCCGCCGCTCCAGCCGCCCGCCCCGACCCCTCTCGCAGCGCATAAATCCGCCGCCCGGCCCCGCTCCGCCCGGCCCGGCCCCGCTCCGCTCCGCCGCGGCGGCCCAGCGCCCCGCCAGGCCCCGCGCCGGCTGCAGACGGCCGAGGTCACGCAACGGCCCCGCCGGCGCCAGGCCCCGCCGGGCTGCCCGAAGAAACGCCTGAGCGAAAGTGCTAACGGAGACTAGAGGCCGAGCCGCAGACACGGCCCCGCGCTTCGCGTCCGGCTCCCGCCGAACGCAGAGACGGAGAAGGCGGGATGAGGCGCCCGGCGAGCCGCGGTGCCGCCCAGCCGCCGGCTCCCGGACCGGCAGGCGCGGCGAGGGCTTCCAGCGCGGCGCAGAGCACCGCCACAGCGGCACGGGCACCGGCACGGACGGCCCGGGGGGTGCGCGTGTGCCGCTTTCGCGCATGCGCCGTAGCGCCGCTCTGCGTGAGGCGGGACGTCTGCGGCCATACGACGCACGCGCGCGAGGCGACGCGGCGCTGAATTGGACGAGCGAGACGCGACGACGCTCCGCCCCGTCAGGGCAGCGGTGTGCGGGGTGTGTGTGAAGGGGGAACGGTCTGGAAAGAACAGACACTGCGAACAACTCGTGCTTGTGCGTTCTAATCTTTTATTGGAAATGCGTGACCCCGCTAGAGGGGCCGGGGGCGCCGCCTCTTGCAGGGCGGAGGATCGCGCTGGGCGCTGCCGGCCCTCCTCTTGGTGGGGCGCCGGCGCCCCCCAGCCGAGCGCTTCCTGCCCCGGCCGTGAGCGGAGGGGCCGCGGCTGCGGCGCTGGGCAGAGGGACCGGCTGCCTCGGGAGCCGACTCCTGGCCGGGACCTGTGCCGAGGGCCCCGCTGGACGTGCCGGGGAGCTCCTCTGCGTCGGGACCCGCGGAGCTGCCGGAGGGCACGGCGCTGGGCTCGACGGTCCCCTGCGGAGCGGTGCCGGGACCGGACGGGGCCGCGGGGCCGTCCTCGTGCTCCTGGGCAGCGCCGGGGTCTTCGAGGCCCAGCAGCCTCCGGGCCTCCTGGCCGCACCGGCTCTCGATGGTTGTGATGAGGGCGTCGATGAGCGGTGCGGTGATGGGTCCCAGGGCGTGCTCTGTGCAGTCCACCAGGACGTCCCTGTCCGGCCCCACCTGGCAGAGGAATGCCAGGATCATGCTCTTGACCCAGTCGATCTTCCACCATCGCAGCTCCCCGTTGCGGCGCAGTTCCTGCTCCAGCCAGGGCAGCACCGGGTTGAGGACGTTTCGTCGGACCCTGAAAAGTGCCGCCCACTCCTCCAGCAGGAGGCCGCCCACTCTCTCCGGCTCCGCCGCCATGGGCTCAGGGGACAGTGGTGGAAGGGGGGGAAGAAGGTCCTCGTCGCTGTCGGGACCGGTGGCAGTGGTGGTGCCGAAGCCGACGGGCACCGGCACTGCGGGCGGGGAGACGACGCAATCCACGTACTGGTTGTCTCCCCGCACGGAGACCCGGATGGTCTCCATGGCCGTCCTGCACAGCGGGCAGCTGTCCCTCAGCCTCGCCCACCGCTGGATGCAGCCAAGGCAGAAACTGTGATTGCATGGAATAGCTTGGGCCACGTCCTGCCGCACCTCGCGGCAGACGGGACACATCCATGCCTCTTCTGCAGCCATGATCTTCTCGCTGCAGGCACTGGGAGAACCGAGGATGACGAGTTGTTCTCCTTCAAAGCAGCTGCGGCGGTGGTGTCTCACCCTGCAAGAGGAAGGGAGGTCACAGTCACTCGCTGTCCCAGGGTGTGCGAGTCCTCTGCAGAAAGCCCCCCCAAGCCCGTTGTTGGGCCGTCTTGTGCTCCCCGCTGGCACGGGGCCAGGCTCCCCACGGCTGCCCTGAGGGACCCAGGTGTCCCCGCACCACTCACCTCCGCTGCTGCGGGTGCACTCAGTAGGGTCCCAGCTGCCTGCACTAGGCAGGGCCAGGGAAACAGAAGCGATGCTGCGGGGTCAGGCACTGAGATGCTGCGAGCAGCCCCAGGCACGACCCAGCACAGCACAGCGAAAACCTTGCTCGACCTCCAAGCCTCGCAGAGCTGCTCAGCACGGTCCAGGAACGAGCCAGACTGAGCCAGGCTCTGCCGGCACCCCACTATGAGCAGTGAGGGCACAGCTGTCACAATCGTCACCCGGTGATGTCACAACCTGTTGCTCAGGGACATCACCATGGTCTGTCCGCCCCCACAGCACCCACTCGTGATTCAGATATTACCTTCTTTTCCTGTTCGTGATTTGCTGTACCTTCCCCTTCATTCTTGTCCATCTTTTATGCTTGACATTTGACATTAATGCACAGGCCTTTCTTTTTGTCTGATTAAACCAACTCTAATTGTTCATATATTGTCATTTTCAAACAAGCCCTTTCAGTTCTCTTACATTAAAAGGGAATAATCAAATTGAACTGAATGAAAAATATTCGCAAAAATAAATTACATTCTTTCTGGTATGCCTGTATCACATCTGAAATAATTTTTCTAACATCCTGAAGTTTTATGGAGCACAGGGAAACTCGGGTGTATTGGAAGCTATGCGTTTCTCTTTCTTAAATGCTCAAGCTGGTTATCCTACAGAATTGAACTACTGATGATTGCTCTATACACGTGAGCAAGTGGATGACAATGTCTCACTGTCATTTAACCTCCATACTGTACAGCTTCTTGGCCAGCTTCCAACCAAACCAATTTGAAAGATGAAGTTTTTACAGTATCCATGAAAGTATGAAGCCAGTGTAAAGATGAGACCCTCAGTACTGCCACCAAGAGTAGCACTTCAGTGTGAACTTACCCTAATAAAATCCATGTGGAGAAGCACACTAAAGACAAGTGAAACGTCAACTGGCCCTCCTGTCTTATTCATACATGAACAAATCCATGTTCAAGACACAAATACAGAAGAAAGCAGGCTTCATTAACTCTGTTGCTAATGTGGTAAATTTGGTAATTGGGTAAATTTGAGTCTGTCATTTAATGACATCCTGGAAAATAACATTAGCCAGTTAAAAATATTTTGTTAGGATTTATGCAGCCTCTTATGCAATAACCTTTTAACTGTTCTTCACAGGTGTTAAAAGCAACTCTGCGCCTGTCCTTGCAGATATTCACAAACAGTTTGTTTGCTAGATAACTAGCTAGATGAGTAGATATAGGAAAACATCTAATACATACACATATGTATATATACACAAAATGTGTTTGTGTATGTAAATGTAAAAATGTATGTGCATGTAGTATATGTGAATATGCGTATATGAATACTGTATTTGTTTGTGTTTACATAAATCTAGGCAAAATGCTTTTGCTGCTTTCTTAGTTAAGATTTTGATATTGAGCATCTAAATACAAGAACATCTTACTTAGACTGCAGCAAATGCTGTTGTATTGGATCTTTGAAAATAAGACCACTTAGATGATAAAAAATGGATTTATCAAATGAGTTTATGTTGCAGCTCTTATGCAAATACTGCTCTTCAGACAAAAGGCCCACATAAGCAGGTGCCTCTTTTTCCTCCTCCACCTCCTCAGTTCCAAGCAGCTGAGGAATGAACCTGTGCATAAGCTGCCTTTGACATAAGAGCACTTGCAGAATAAAGTATTTTCTCAGCTACAGTCCAAAGGCTGTGACCATTTGTATCAAATGAGAAATAAGATTAATCAGTGAGACTTCAAACTCTGCTGGAGGCAGAAGCCTCTCAGAAATAAGAGTTTTCTTCTTGTGTCTGCAGGAAATATTGCAGAAGGCATGAGGAATGTGTATTCTGCCTGCAGAAGCACACCAGTGACATTCAGAGTTACGTCCATATTAAACTGGGAGGGAAGAGTGACTGAGCGCTTCCTCCCCACTGTTAATCTCCCCTGAAATCACTCAGAGCAGTACTTTAAGCCCTGTAGACCCATTTTCCATGTAAGATTCCCATGGGTAGCATCTCTCAGAATGTGAGTGTGAGAATGTGCAGAGATGCTCACACTGAGGCCTCTTGTATTTTGGAAACAAAGCATAGCTTAGAAACGTAAACATCACTGGCTCTCTTGGTGTGTAGAAGCATATCTAGAAACTGTATAGTAGTACACAGAAAGAAATTGGGACTTTTTGCCTTTGGTGTGCTTGGAAATGTGTAGCTGAGACATTCCTTCATGTCGCTTCTGTTTTCTTCTGCCCATCTTCTGAGTGGTTTTTGATCTTTGCTGTATCTGTGTAATTTATGTAAGCTGCTATTACACTTATTAGTTGTGCATCATTAGGAAAAAACGGTGTGGGTTTTTTTTAATAGCAGCACTTTCCTGATGCTTATATTGTACTAAAAAAAGTTGCAAAAAGCTTCAGACCTCTATTTTCTAACTTTCACTGTAATGTCTTGGAAGAAGACCTAAGTATATAAGAAGTTATTACTGTAAGAGTCCCAATAGTTGTGGTGATATCATTTCTGGTAGACAGACAGGTCTTCAAGCTTTCTCCCCCTCTCACTTCTTCTGTCATATTCAGTCATCATTTCAGTTTAATTTTTTAAAAAAATTAATCTTTCTGCAAGAAAATGAATACAAACAGAGCAAAGAGAGTAGGAATATAACAAATTGAACCATCTGTTGAGTCTTAGCCATTAGGCAAGCAGCTCTCAGGTTATGTAGGAGAGAGCCATGTATTAGCTCAGATGGATTTAGGAGGTTGCTTCAGCTCCAGCAGCCCACTGTTAATTACTCAGATTTTACAGCTCACCATATATATATATATATTTAGTTTTCCAAATTACTGTGTCATTTTGGAAACATATATTCCTCCCCAGCTCTTCACAGATTATTATTTGCAGGCAAATGAAATGCTTTTAAAAGCAAGAAGAATGATAACAGAGCAGAGCATAATAGGACAGGTGGAAAACTCAGAGTAATTATTCTTTTAATATGTGGGTTTGTTTTTTGTTTGTTTTACTGTAATTTTGAGCAATCTGATTAATTTAAAATAAGTTTACTGAAAAATCAAAAATCCTTTTGTTCAAATCTGATGTCTTCACCTGGAAAGAACAGTATGAAACACAAAACTACAGAAATAGGAGTTTTCAACAGTAACTCTGCCTACAGTATTGTATACTTAATACTATCATAGTATACTAATATCATTGTGCTATTATATAGCACAAGCTATAATATAGCTACTGTACTATATTATAGTTCATAGTATGGTATAGAGTAGCATAGTGAAGTATAGAATGAAAACCACAGAAATGTCACTTTCTATGGAAGCTGTGGCTATGGTATAGTTACTATACTGTTTTATTGGTATGGGTGAATAGATGTGTAGTTTTTGGAAGTTAAAGACTACAGGCTCGTCTTTCTTTCCTCACATCCTAATGTAAAATCAGTGTTCACTTTAACCTGGGTAACTTTTTTGCTTGAGGTAAAAGACTTTGTACTGGTATCTGTGTAAGAAATTTGTCTCTAGGACTTCTTTGGTGCTTGAAGGAGACTGCTCACAAAGAAGGGTGCCAAAAGAAAAGCCTCCTACTGAAAAAAAAATATGTAAGTAAACTAAGATAAATAAAATGAAATGGGAGAGGAGAGGCGTAGAGCTGCTCCAGACCCCCCATCGTGGGCTCCAAGATGGTGTATGGGAAAGGGGAGGAAGGGAGGGCTGTAAGTGTTCTGCTGGGGTGAGCCTCAAACCTTCACCACGGATGTGGTCTGAGAACGGTGTGATGTCAGCAGCCACAGAAGATGGGCATTTTCTGAGCACATGGACTGTCACACACGCTTTCGGAAATTCTCGTTTACTTTTGGAAAGATGTCTCATGGTGCTGCTGGGGATGGGAGGGGAGAGGAGGTGCGGAGCTGCAGAAACACGGGCCCTGTAGCATCGGTGTGGCCAGACCCAAATCCTGCGAGTGGGGAAGGGATGCTGCAGGGACAGAGGGGGTGGGAAGGAAAGAGAAGGGAAAGGGGAGGGAAAAAAAAAATTGGAGGGAGGGAAGATAAAGGAAAGGGGGAGGAGGAAAAAAGAGAAAAAGGGAAGAAAGAAAGAAATATATATATATAATATATATATTTAAGAGGGGGAAAAAGAGAAGAAAGGAATAGAAAAGGGAAAATAAAACAGGGAAGAGGGAATAAAGAGGAAAAAGGAGATATAGGGAAAAGGGGGAAAAGGGGGAAAATGGGAAAGGGAAAAAAAAGAAAGGGAAAGGGAGAAAAGGAAAAAAAATGAAAGAGAAATAAAAAAAGGGAAAATGAAAAAAAAAAAAAAGAGGGAAAAAGAGGGGAAGGGGGAAAAGGTTAAAAAAAAAAGGAAAATGAAAAGAAGGTGAAAAAGTAGGAGGAGAGAAAACGATTTTAAAAAAAGTCAGAAAAGAGGAAAGGGAAAAAAGAAGGGGAAAATGGGTGGTTGGAGAAAAGAAGGGGAATGGAAAAAGGGGAGAAAATCAAGGAAAAAGGAAAGGGAGAGTGGGAGTGGAAGAAAGGAGGGGAAGGGAAGGGAAGGGAAGGGAAGGGAAGGGAAGGGAAGGGAAGGGAAGACGGAGGGGGAAAGGGGAAAGGGGAAGGGGAGAGGGGAAGAGAGAGGGGAAGGGAAAAGGAAAGGGGAAGTGGAAGGAAAAGGGGAAGGGAAAAGGGGAAGGGGAGAGGGAAAGGGAAAGGGAAAGGGAAAGGGAAAGGGAAAGGGAAAGGGAAAGGGAAAGGGAAAGGGAAAGGAAGGGAAGAGGGAAGGGAAGAGGGAAGGGAAGAGGGAAGGGGAGAGGGGAAGAGAGAGGGGAAGGGAAAAGGAAAGGGGAAGGGGAAGGAAAAGGGAAGGGGAAAGGGGCAGGGGCAGGGGAAGGGAAAAGGAAAGGGAAAGGGGAAGGGAAAGGGAAAGGGAAAGGAAAAGGGAAAGGGAAAGGGAAAGGGAAAGGGAAAGGGAAAGGGAAAGGGAAAGGGAAAGGGAAAGGGAAAGAAAGGAGACATTTCTGTCTGTGGACATTTGATTGCCTCCATTCCCTGCCCATGGGATAGCTCTGCCCAAGAGGAGCAGGTTCCTACTCCCTAGGGATTTGACAGCTTTGCCCCAGCCCCAGGTGCCTCAAAGGTACGTTTAGGTTAGATATGAGGAAAAAATCTTCTACAGTGAGGGTGCTGAGACACTGGAACTTGTTTCCCAGTGATGTAGTTGATGCCCTATCCCTGGAGACTTTCAGGGTGAGGCTGGATCAAGCCCTGGCAACCTGATGTAGCTGTGGGTGTCCCGGTTCACTGCGAGGGAGTTGGACTAGATGGCTCTCAAAGGTCCCTTCCAACTCTAAAGGTTCTATTATTCTATTCTATAACTCTAAATTCTTCCAAGAGAAGAAGTTGCCGCAAAATCGCCACCTGCTGCCCGCCGCCGGGACGGACGGATGGACGGATGGACGTACAGACCCTCCTGGGAAACGTCTTTGGAAAAGGGAGAAACGTGCAGTCACGGACTTTTATATGTTTAACTGCTATATAAAATTACAAAATATATAATTCATATTGCATATCTGAGTCTACCTCTTAAGTCTTCCTTGTAACATCCACGCATCACGTTACCTATCGCTGTTAGGCTTCTATCCGAGTTCAGAGGACACGTACATATTTGGGTTTACCCTCTCACCACGGAAGACGTCCAGCTCCCCCACCCTTTTGCCCCCGCCGGCCAACATCCCCGTGTTTTCTTTTCGTTTTGCTGCCCGTTCATTGCGCTTGGCAAAAGGCTGGTTATAGTAGCGGTTGGGGGGAAGAAACGGCGTCGCAGCTGTCGGTGACTGCGGTTTGCCCCGCCGCAATCCTTCTCGCACTCGCGGGGCCGTGATTGCGGGAGCCTCCGCCTCATTTGCGTTGATGAGGCCGTGCTAGCGGCCGGGGAGCAGCGCTGTCCCGACGCAATCACTGCGCTCGGTATGAGCGCATGGAGCCGGGAATCCGCCGCGCGGCGCCGCAGTCCAGTCCGCCTTACGGCCGCTCCTGCGAAATGGGGCCGAATTAGCAACTCCGTGTTAATTGAGGGGCCGGCATTTCCTTGCGTTTTACTTATTG